CAGCTGCCCTGGGGTCCACAGGACCCTGTGGGAGGGAGAGGCCGGAGGGGCGGGGCTGGAGGGAGGGGCTGCAGGGGGAGCACGGGTGGGACCTGCCCAGGCTACCGCCCCTCCTGCCGCTGTGTGTCCTCTTGTTCCTCAGTGTTTCTGAGCTATTGTCCCCGTTTTAGAAGATGGTGGTAATTCCTGCTCAGTGAGGTTGAGACAAACACTGAATGAGGTGATGACTGTGTATTGGTCAGAACCCCCACAGGACGCAGACGGCCTGTTGAAATCGGTGTTTGTCTGACGGTAGTGACCCCGGTGAGGAGAAGGCATCTCAACACCTAAACACGATGCTGGCAACTCCTCCGACCGTAACAGACTGTGTCACAGGGCGACTCACTCACAGGCCGTCGGGTCGGAGAGGACAGAGGCCCCGGCAGCCGGCACAGACTGTTCCCTGAGAGCAGACCCGTCACAGTGATTCCTTACACTGTAACTGGGGCACCGATGACTGACGGGAAAAGGGACAAAGAAGGTGGCAGCACCAGCCATACCTCATGGGGATCCTGTGATGAATGATCCTTTATAATTGATACGATCACCAGTTGGGTGTTGCCCTTGGTGCTCCTGTCCTGTCACTAACAAAAGTGCTCGCGGCTGTAGTTAGGGAACACGGGTAATCCTCACCTAGAGCCCTGGGTGTGCTGGCTGAGGCCAGTGAGGTGGGTCAAAGGTCACAGCATGAAAACAGGAAAGGAATCCGTGACACCGAGATGAGCTGGATGTGCTCACAGCCGCAGGTGCGGTGGCACTAAGGGAACCCACAAGGACGACTGGGCCCCAGGGCTCACAGCAGGGGCTGCCGTGCCCACCCGTGGGCCCAGGGCAGGGGGACAGGGAGGGGCTGCTGGGGGGAGGCTGCTGGGCGGGAGCGGCCCCCTGGGGACGTGGGGCCGGCGCTGCGCCCCCTGTCCTTCCTCCTTCCTGTCCTCAGCCTGCGCCTCCCGTGGCCCCACCCCGCAGTCACCAGGGGCCCGGGGCCCAGGGATGCTGTCCCCGGGGACCGACTCCTGGGGCCGGAGGGCGGGGACAGGTGGGGGGGACCCCAGATCACACGGAGCCACAGCCGGGCCCCAGCACAGGAGGGACACGGCGTCTGTTATCACAGCAGACACTTCCTCTGTGCCCGGCCTTGGGCTAAACTGACCAGGCAGTTGTCTCATTCCACCCTAGAGACGAGTGTCTTACCCCGTCCACAGATACGAATTTGAGACTCAGCCTGTTCCATAGCTGGTGTCTATGGACAGAGAGACTGTGCAGAAAAGGACGTCATGGAGCTCGGGGGGGAGAGCGAGGGCTGCCATTTAGCCCACATGACTGTGCAGCACAGCTGGGCAGGGACAGTGTGGGGCAAACAGGGAAATGGGAGACCCCAACCCTCCTCACCCTCCCCTTCGCCACCTAACTCGAGGCTCCTCCAGGATCTCCTGGCCTGTCTGAGGGTCACGTCCTGGGGGGCCAGGACCCCGTCTGGGCTTGGCCTCCTGCCCAGACCCGGGCCTCGGAGGCAGAGACTCCGAGGCCCGGGAACCTCGTCTGACCCCACCCGACACCCCGTGCAGCGGACGTGCTTCTGGATCCGGACACCGCGCACCCCGCCCTCCGTGTGTCTGAGGGCGAGAGGAGCCTGAAACGGGCAAACTCACAGGAGGACCGGCCGGACACCCCCAAGAGATTTGACAGGAATGAGTGTGTGCTGCCCTGTGAGAGCTTCACGTCTGGGAGTCATTTCCGGGAGGTGGACGTGGGGACAGGGAACAGTGGCGTGTTGGGCTGTGCAGGGACAACGTGGACAAGAAATGTTGGATTAAAGTGGCCCCCGAGAATGGGTTGTGGACAGTGGGGTGGTCTGGTGGGAGTGACTACCGGGCTCACGGACACCCCGACCCAGCTCACCAACGTTCGCGGCCTGCGAGAGTGGGCGTTTTCCTGGACTGTGACGCGGGGCAGGTGTCATTCTACAACGCGCTCGACGGGTCACACATCTTCACCTTCCCGCACACCCCCTTCTCTGGGCCTCTGAGGCCTGTTCGTGCACTGTGACCACAAAAAGTCCCTCACGATGCCCAACAACCCGAGAGATAGGGAAAAACCCCCAAACCCCCCCAAAAACCCCCCCAGCAGCCACGTGTAGAAAGTGTGGAGACCGAGGCAGGGCCCGATCCCTGCCGTCTGCGATGCCCACGGATTCCGTGCTGCTGGGAGAGGCTCGCCCTCTGCCCCTCCCGCTGCCTCTCGTCTGTCCCTTGGCAGCCGATTGTTCCTGTCGGGCAGGGTCATGGGTCCCCTGAGGTTCCCTTCCCAGGGCTCCAGGGGCGAAGGCCACATCATCACCGTTGTGACTGTTCACCACGTGTCCCCTCCCTCTGCATGGGGTTGTCACGTTACATTTGTTAAATAAATTTGTCAATAATCTTTACTCTTCCACTGAGCTTTTTCTCGATTTTAAGCCCCCAAGGTTAAGTCACCACAGATTCACGGTTTACCTCCTTGGAACATTTTCACAAAATGCCGATAGTATTAGTTTGGTATTGCGGCAGTAATGAAATACCCACAGATTTCATGACCTAATACAACACACGTGTATTGTCTTAAAGCAAGGCTCTCGCTGGGCTGAAGCCAAGGCATCACAGGCTGGGTCCTTTCGGGAGGACCCGGGACCGGTCCAGGTCCTGCTAATTCTCATGTGGGCGGAGCTGCGCTTCCTGCAGCGACAGGACCCAGGCCGCCCTCCTGCTGCATCAGCAGGGCTGAGACACCCCAGGCTGGGACGGTCTGGAGCCGTCCTCGCAGGGACAGACGTGGGGGGGACGGGTCAGGTGGAGGGAGGGACACGGGGACAGAGTCCCGGTCCTGGAGTGGCTGCTGGTGGGGCCGTTGCCCCTGAGCTAATTGCAGCGTCATGTTTTCGGGGAAGGTTATTCTAGAAGAAGCGCAGGCAATGGCCCGACTGGGATCCGTGAGGCAGGGGAGCACGTGTGTGCGCGTAGGGCTGCTGGACACTCTCCCCCCCCCCCCCCGCCAGAGCGCCCGCTGGCAGAGGAGGGAGCCTCGCTCGCTGCCCGCGTCCTGAGGGCACCGGAGACGCCCCTCCCGAGGGAAGGGCGGGGCTCTGCCTGTCGCTCCGTGTCCTCCCGTGTCTCTCTCCGCAGCCTCTGCCTGAGTCACCGGGTCTCCCAAAGTCCCTACAGCTGCTGTCTGGCTCTACTGTTTACCGCCGGCCCCACCGCTGCCCAACTCCACCCCGCGCCCCCATCTCCTCCCCACCCCCCTCGCCCAGCGCCTTGAAGGAGACTCCTCGGCTTTGGAAAGTGGGTGCTTATTCACCTCAACCCCTACCCACCGCTCGCCCCCACGCGCAGGTCCACAAGGCACGCAAAACAGCCGTCTGCCCTATTCGTTAGCAACGACGCCACTGTACGGAGTCGCAAGAGAGTGCAAACAATAAATAAATAAAACAGTACATTGCCTTTGAAAAGAGAAAAGGAAACTAAAATATCAGATAATCTCAAAAGGCTATTTACTCGCAGTTGTGCCCGTTTAACGCAGAGGCAGTATCCGCGTATTCTGCCTAGCAACCGGCGCGGACCCGACTCCGGGACGCCATTGGCTGGCTGGCCCGCCGCCGGCCAATCCTGGACTCCGAACGGTCCCTGGAACTGAGACTCTGGTCACAGGAGGCACAGAGTCCCAGGTCCCCAGCCTCACGGACACAGTGACGGGAGAGAGAATTTCCTCTCCGCTTTGCGCACCGTTGGGTCTCCGGTTGTGACTGTACCCAAGGGCTGCTGAGGGAAGGACAATCGGAAGTCGTCGTCTGAGCGTCGCTGGAGGAAAGGAGACGCCGGAGTGAACTCTGGCAGGTGGGACCGGAGGGCGCTGCGCTCCGCGCGCAGGGTGGGGGCGGGGACCGACGCGTGCGGGGAGCGGGGCGGGCCCTGGGGGAGGGGCTTCCTGGGGGCTCCGCACCTGACCTCGCCTGGGGTCCCAGAGCCGATGCCTGGAGGAGGGGGCGGGAGGAAGGATGTCAGATGACAACTGCACAACCTGAGCTCTGGCCCCAGAAGCGAGCCGAGCGGGGCGGATCGTGGTTCCTTGGCTGATTCCGTGGACTGTGCTCCAGTCCGTCTGCGGAAGACGCCTGCACCGCAGGAGGGACGGGGAGCCCAGGACACAAGTGGGGGCTCTGATGGCAGCCACCCGGGTCACAGGGACGTTCCCCTAAATCTGGGCCGTGGTGCCAACTGTGCCTGCGATTCTCCACGTCTGTGCCCTCAGGCCCTCGGTCCCCCCACCCCGCCCCGCCCGGTGACTGGTCGCTGGTGCCATGGAGCCGGCTGCTTCCCTGCGCGTCCCCCTGCCGGACCCGCTGCGCTTCTTCCCCCTCCTCGGCTTCTCTGCGCTGGTCTCAGGTACGGCCGGCCCGGCTCCTGTCGGCTCAGAAAGGAAACCCCACGCTCCTCGCTGCGCTGCCCTCGCTCCTCCTTCACTCAGCACAGTTCTCTCCGATCGTCCCAAACCACCAACATATCACCATTCAAACTTTTAATTAATGTAAACGATTAATGAGACATTCAACACCCTTTTGTTCCAAATTTCCACACTGTCTCCGTCTATGTTACATGGACCACAGTGTCACCGGGGACCCGCTGGCGGCCGCCTGGTGGACAGCTCTGGCCCCGCTGCGCTCAGGGGCGGGGCTGCCTGGGAGCAGGAGGAACCTCTGTGCGCCCAGGGTCTCAGAGGTCAGGTCCGCCCCTCTGGGTTCTGCCCCGAGGCGCCCGCAGCTTCAGCAGCTACACACTCGGCCCCTCTTGCCCCGACCAGGCACAGCCGGGCCCCCAGGGGCCTCAGCCCAGGAAGCCGTGGTCTGTCCCCTGGAATGGCCGCTTCCTTCCCTGCCTTAGACGCGGGGCCGCTGCGGCTCCGCCTGACTCTGCCCGTTTGTTGAACAGCCCAGTTTACTGTCGTGGGTCCAGCGGAGCCCATCCTGGCCATGGTGGGAGAAGACACCGAGTTCCGGTGCCACCTGTCCCCTGAGAGAAGTGCCGAGGACATGGAGGTGCGCTGGTTCCGGTCCCAGTTCTCGCAGGCGGTGCTGGTGTACAAGGGCCAGCGCGAGAGGCCAGAGGAGCAGATGGAGCAGTACCGAGGACGAACAACCTTCGTGAGCGAAGACATTGGCAAGGGGAGGGTGGCCCTGGTCATTCACAACGTCACTGCCCGTGACGACGGCATCTACCGCTGTTATTTCCAACGAGGCAGGTCCTACGACGAGGCCGTCATGCGCCTGGTTGTAGCAGGTGCATCGTTTCTCTTTATATGGTGGCTTTTCCACACTAGGACGCTTGGGGACACATTCTCTCTGAACCTCAGGCCCCCCACAGACCCGCACAGTTTTGCCCCGGGTCCCCTCAAACCTGGCGCCAGCCCGAGGGCCTCAGGAGTGGGTTTGCCCCACGGAGCTGGGGGCACCGAGGCCTGGGACGCACACTGAGCTCAGCGGAGCCGTGAGCGGGGGAGAGGGTGTCATCCCCCCAGAGGATGCTCGTGCCATTTCTCAGAGATCCCTACGGGTGCAGTCACATGCACAGGGATTAGACAATTTAGACATGTTTGTGTGTCCCCAGGCCTGGGCTCCAAGCCCCTCATTGAATTGAAGGGCCACGAGGACGGGGGCGTCCGGCTGGAGTGCACCTCCGGAGGGTGGTACCCAGAGCCCCATGCAGTGTGGAGGGACCCTTATGGTGAGCTCATGCCCGCCCTGGAGGAGGCTTACACCGAGGACACAGACGGTCTCTTCAGGGTCACCATAGCCGTGATCATCGACGACAGCTCTGTGAGGAACGCGTCCTGCGCGGTCAACAACACCCTGCTGGACCAGGAAAAGGACTCCGTGATCTTCATTCCAGGTCAGCTCCCTGCCCCCTGGGGGCCCAGCCCGTGGAGGCAGGACCCTCAGCAGATGTAACTGTCCATTTGTGACGAGGGCCGCGGGGGCGGCCTCTGCCTTGTGGGTCCACATGCAGGAATGATCATCCGCCCGCGGCCGCGGCCCCCACTGTGCGTTTCTGAGAGAAGCGGGCGGAGCGGGGACCAGAGCGCGCTCCGCGGATGGGCACTCAGGTGCCCTCACCCGGGTTCCCTGTGTCTCACTAATTGGACTTTTCTAGTCCCCCTTCCAGAACACTTGGTCCCCAGCTCGCCTCCCTGGACGTTGGCCCTGGCGGTCATCCTGCCGGCTCAGCTCCTCCTCATCGTCGGGAGCATCTGTCTCTTTTTGAAGCGCCGCAAGGACAAAGAAGCTCTGTCACTGGAAAAAGATTTTGAAAATAAAGAGGAAGATACTGCATCCAAAGAACTGGGTAAAGAACACGTGGAAAAAGAGAAAGGGTTCGCTGTCACTCAAGGGCCCAGCTCGGACAGCAGCTAGGCATGGAGTTTTGTGTCCTGGTCACCAACCCCTCAGCTCTCTTTCACCCCCTCAAATGTGCCCTCCACTCACCTGGCTCCAGAGAGCACCATGTCCTTGAAAAGCAAACCTCAGCAGGGACTGACTGTAGCCCGGCACCTGGTCCTACAGCAGGACAAATCCCTACCCGTGGCGGGAGGGGACACTGACTTCACAGAAAGGGCCAAGCCTGTGCTTGCTACAGACTCATGTGCTTAATTCTTCTCTTGAGGACACTCATTTGTGTCTTTATTTTTCAGAGCAACTTCAAGAAGAATTGCGTAAGTTCCCCATTTCCTGAACAGCTCCATGCACGATGCATGTCTGTGGGTTCCTGTTGTGTCGTGGAGCTGCCTCTGTGTCTGTCCCTTGCAGGATGGAGAAGAGGCCTCTTGCACGCTGGTGAGTGTCTCTGACGTCCCCTCAATCCTGAGCCTCGTCCCCACTAGCCAGCCCCGGGGACACGGGAGCCGAGAAGAAGAAGGGGCCACAGGGGCCTGGTGCTGGGACGGGCCTGGTCCCTGGGAACACCTCACCCAGTGCGAGGGTCCCAGCTCGGCTGTCAGGGAATGCCCATGGCTCTCGATCACTCTTGGCTTCCTTAGCCACTGGTACCTTAACATTTAAAAAAAAAAAAATTTCGTCCACAATTACCAGGTCAGGTGCACACAGTGACCTCCCCAAAGCTCATGTTGCAGTATTTGTGGGCCTCGGACCCTGGATTGACCTCAAAGGAGACAACACAGGCTCAGCCTGTTGTGACCTGGGCGAAGGCAGAGCACACAGTGAGCAGACGTGGAGGACAGGACTGAGCTGCCCCAAACCCGTCTCAGGGCAGGACACACGGGGGCCAGGGGTGCCTCCCTGCCCCAGGTGCGCCCTGATACTGGCTGAGTGCCCCCGGCAGGGGTGGGGAAGGGGCCTCGGGGTCCCTCCTGACGAGCACCCGGCCTTTGGGGCTCCCCCCTTCTGCTTGAAGGCAGCGCAGTGCCCAGGCCCTGCCGGACGCCGCGTTGCTCGGGCCTTTCCTCTTCGGGTGGATTTCAAACTGTCAGAGTTGGACACAGAAATGCAGAGAAAGGACAGTATCCAGTTCCCACAGTGGAAGTGCAGGTGACAGCAGCTTCAGGGCGCAGGTCTGCAGGCCATCAGTGTCTGGAACGTTCCCTGTCCCCAGAGCAGAAGCTGCAGGCCCAGAAGCTAAAGCTGAGCCGGACGGAGACCGCTCCCCCGCTTCCCCCAGGCCCACCTCTCAGGGGGCAGGTTGACTTCTGGGACATTGTCCTTTCTTACTTTCTGAAGCGTATTCTTGTTAGGTACTTAAGTCTCATATCACTTGGTTAGACGAGTGAACACAGAGGACCAATGAAGGGACTCTCTACTGCCCAGAATCTAAGGACAAAATGGCTTGAATGGCTTTACTGATTGAGGGAAGGGGACAGGGTCTCTGGCGTTTGAAGCCAACTTGGAAAGTTTCTAGCTGAAAAGTTCCCAGAGGCCCTCATTTTTCATCAGAAAAGCGGCAGGTCTGAGAATGTGCAGAGAATGTGGGAGACATGAACTTCAGCTCCTTTGCTGAACTCCCTGTATCGCCAAGCGCCCAGGGGGCCCCTCCCTGGGCCCCACTCCCCTCACACAACAGGTGGACATGCAGCCTCAGGGACCCTCGCCTGTGAGCAGCCTGGGCTCTGGGTCACGGGCCTTCGTGGAGGTCCCGCCCCGTGGGGATGTCCCCGCTTCCTGGGACCTCCCTGAGCGCCCAGGCCTGACCCTGTGATTCCCGTGCAGCGGACGTGCTCCTGGACCCAGACACCGCCCACCCTGAGCTCTTCCTGTCCCAGGACCTGAGGAGTGTCCGGCGGGGCCCCTCCCGGCAGATCCTGCCCGACAACCCGGAGAGATTCGACTGCCGGCCGTGCGTCCTGGGAGCGGAGAGGTTCTCCTCAGGGAGACATTACTGGGAGGTGGAGGTCGGAAACGTGATGGTGTGGGCGGTGGGGGTCTGCGGAGATGGTGTGGCCAGGAAAGGGGAGGCCCTGCTGGTGCCGCAGAATGGCTTCTGGACCCTGGAGCTGTTTGGGAACCAGTACCGGGTCCTGTCCTCTCCCGAGAAGATCCTTCCCCTGAAGGAGCGCCTTCGCCGGGTGGCCGTCTTCCTGGACTACGAGTCTGGAGACGTCTCCTTCTATAACATGAGGGACCGATCGCACATCTACACGTGTCCCCGTTCGCTCTTCACTGGGCCCCTGAGGCCCTTCTTCAGGCTGGGGTCTGACGACAGCCCCCTCTTCCTCTGCCCAGCGTTCAGAGGGGCCCAGGGGGTCCCCGTGCCTGAGGGTGGCCTGGTCCTTCACGGGGCCGGGACCCGCCGCAGCCACCAGCACCCGCTCCCTCGTCCCCGAGCCCAGTAGACGAGCCCTGGGCGCCCCGGCTCGCTCAGCACAGCGCCCCGCGGACACGGCGCCGCCCTCTGGGCACAGCAGGGAACGTCCCCCACAGGACCGGGGACCTCCTCCCGTCCCCGCCCCTCAGGCTGCTGCTCTAGTGACTGGGGAGCTGGTCCCCAAGGCGCCGGGGCCAGTCTCAGGGAACGAGAGCGGCCGCGAGGCCCCAGCCAAGAAGAAAGCGCGAGACAGCAACAGGGCGGCCGCCTGCTGCTGGGAGTCAGGGCGACCTGCCGGAGCGGACCCGAAGGGACACCAGACACGGTGGCCTGACGGCGAGGACGACAGGGTGCGGCAGGGCCCGGGGGTGAGGGGCCACGGCTGGTGGCGTGGTGGCCCCACCGTGACCGCCAGGGGCCCGCCCAGGGGGCTCCTCCCGCCCTCCCCCCGGTTCCCAGCCTCAGGGCAGAGCTCCCGGCATCAAGGCTCAGAGACAGGGACAGGGGCACGACAGACGAGGTCACCCGCGCCCGGCCTGGCTCAGGCGTCCCTGCAGTAACCCCCTCGGTCGGTGAGGGCGGCCCCGGGGGGAGGCCCTGGCTGAGCGGGTGAGCAGGGGACGCGTCCGTGCACGGCCGGGGCCAGCGCGGGGCCGGCGGCGTCCGGCCTCTTGCTCCCAGGAGGCACCGAAAACTTCAAAACTACCAACACCACGAAGGGTTTGTGCTCACTTTGCTCATATCTGACAGTATTTACTCTACTGGACCAAAAAAGCTTTAAAGACAGATTTATTTATATATTTAAATCACACTCAGTAATTCCTCACAGGCCTATATAACATTTTTGTGAGAAATACCTTGGTTGCAAAGCAAAATAAATGCTGGTGGCATTGCTTAATTGGCTGCACCTGGCTTAATAGAGGACTGGACGCTCATATCCGTCGCTGTAAGAACATGGAAACCTGTAGGGATTTTTATGAGAGTTCATTGGAGCCAAACTGACGACGCTGCGAGGAGCAGGACCGGAAATGCTCGGCAGAAGGACGGGCTGCGGCTTCTTCTGCCTCGGGAACGAGGGGGCGGGAGGCCGACGTGCCGGCGGAGAAAGCAGAGGAAACGAGGCCCGGCTCCTGCAGGGCGGTCGGTCCCCGCGGGTCTGAGGGAGAGGACCCGCCCGGCCTCGCCAACGGCCGTTCCTCTGGGTGCCCGCGGGCAGCGGCCGGGGTTGCGGAAGGTGCAGAAGACCTTTCACTGAGGAAGGGTCGGCCTGGCCGTGACCCCGCCAGGACCTGCCCAGTGGGGGTTGTGGTCAGATCGCCCCGGGAGGTCGCTGTGGGTCACTGATTTGTTCCAGAGCCTTTTTCACCGGCCACACTGGAGTCTTGAGAATGAGGCAGAGCAAGAGGCATCTTAAAAGCCAAAGTCCAGATAAATAGATGACTCTGGTTTCGTTTTCTGCTGGGGAATGTGCTTAGTGAGAATTTCCTTCTTCCTTTTTCTGGCATCATCTGTCCCTTCGCATAATCAAACCCATTTCTGGGAAATGGTCACTGTTTGTCCAGTCTGTTGCTTTCCGGGAGGACCTCACGTCCAACCCTGGCCTCTATTTGACCCGATCAAAGCTCACCCAGCCAGAGCAGCCTTTTCTTTAGGGGCGTTTTGTGACAACAGTTGGTGGCAGCGATATAAGCTGGATCTGCCTGACCCGGTGCTCAGCAGACAGAGAAAGAAAGGCCACCCCTGCCGCCCATGGAGGGGCGTCTGCCTGCAGGGGACAGACAAGCCCCTTCCTCCACCAGTGACAGCGCAGCTGACAGAACAGCAACCCTGAGCAGCCCCCCAGGGCCACACTGAGCCCTTGTCCCCCTCCCCCACCCCGACTCCCTGCTGTGACTGTCCCACCACAGCGTCAGAAAATTCTGTTCTCGGCCTCTGCCCAGGGAAGGGCTCTTACATCATTAATATGAAGAGAAACAGGAGCATTTTGAGCTTTCAGAATTATTTTTAAAAACCCATATCAAAGACCAGAATTTGAAAGTAAATGTCCACATCCTGTCCTTTGGACAAGAGCGGAGCCCGCAGGCGGGGTCGTCGTGTTCACGTTACTCGACACTCGCCCTGGAGCAGCGCCTCCCCGCAGGGCCCGGGCCGCTTGTTGGTATGAAATCAATAATATTAGATAGTGTCCAAATTTTATTTAAAAAAATCAAAGGGAACTATGAGGTCATAAAGTTTATATAAATTTGATGTGTGTCATCAGTTACAATATAATATGTATTTATTACTGCGAATCACAGTAAAGAAAAGATATGAGGTTACGTTAAAGATGTGGGAACCTGGGGGGACCTCCCGGTGGAGGGCAGGGCGGACGCGGTTCCCAGGCGCACGGCCTGCAGTGACGAGCGGCGGCCACTAGGGGGCGGAGAAGCCTCTGAGAAGATAGAGGAAGAGCGGGGGGGGGGGGGGGGAGGGGGAAACAATGCTCTGATGAAGTGGGGCGAGAACAGGGGAGGAACAGGGAGCCCGAGTCCTGTAGCTCCGGTCCCCGGGATGGAGAGACCCGTGGCGCTGACGGGACCCCGACCTGCAGCTTGGAGCCCAACAGCATCAGCCAGGCCGGGGCGGGCCCGCCGGACCCGCTGCGCCCAGAGAAAAGGAATGTCCATAGAGTCCCTGAGTGTTGGGTGTTTGCTTTGAGGCGCGATTGCATGAGAAACGTGTCTAATAAGCATGCACCCCGTACAGATAAAGGTTAGTACCGTTACTATTATTATTTTTTATTATAACGATATCTCCTTCCCACTGATGAGTTGGGCGTCTCTTCAGGCCGGTCCGCGGATCCGAGCCGCCGCCCTGTTTGCTGCGCAGGGAGCGGGGGAACAAACACGGGAAGGCGGGGAAACAGGGGTACCGCCAGGGCCTGACTTGGACCCGGTGCCCCCGGGTGAGGAGACCCCTCCCTGCACCTGAGAATGTGTTTCCCACCCGCGCACGGTCCCTGACGTCCAGGGAAGTGAGGAGGTAGCGTTCATTCCACAGCGGAAGTAGGAGACTTCGAACGCGATGTGACGGAATGGCCCTGGCGCGGTCCGGATAAATCAGGGTGGTGCTTTCTCTGTGTGTGTGTCTGTCTGTGTCTCTTTTTGCCACCAGGGGTTTGGGCACCTGCCTCTGTCGCTAACTCTGTTCCTTCAACTATGCCAATGTGAACAGTTAAGGGCCTGGCCTGGGATGGGGTGTGAGTCAGCCATCAGGGGGCGTTTGAAACTGAGAACTGGGAGCAGAGTAGGGACCCGACCCTGGAGGCAAACTTCTCCACTGCCACCCATTGGCCTCGGGCGCAGTTCAGTTGTGAAGCACGGAACTCGGGGTGAAAGGCACGCGCTTCGCTCGGTGCGCGCCCCGGAGCGGCCGTTTCGGGCGCCCCGACTCGGGGAGACGTTCCGGTTGCAGATGGAGACGGAGTGTGGGCTCTTGTGGCCCCGAACCATGAGCTGGGCTGACCACGCAGACACTGTGAAGCGACACAAATCAAGCGACTCTTTGCTAAGGAGACCGCGCTTCCCTGGACACTGCCGAGGCCATCAGCAGCCAGGGGGCGGCGCTCCCTCCGGGAGGGTCCGCGGCTTCTTGGGGGGCTTTCCCTTGAGCCGCGACGACGCATGCGCTCTCCCTCGGTCCTCCTTGGTTGCCCTTCGAGGGGAAAGCACGTGCTAATTATTATCAGGTGTCACCAGGAACTCAAGACGCCGACGAGGACAGCTGCAGTGTCTGGGGTTTCCTGTTCTGCACCCCACAGCGCCTCCATCCCTGCTGCTGGGAAGAGCTCCCGTGGTGGGCGTCTCTTTGGCTAACAATGTACCCCCGGCCACCCACGCCCCCCCCCCCAGCCACACACACAGCAGAAGAGATTACCTGCCGCACAGCAGTTTTCTGCTGAAAATGGACTTGCTGAGCATATTGTCCCATTTCACACGCGCTCGCCTCCCAGCGTCACCTGCAGACCTGGGTGAGAAGGGCACCTAGGACCCTATTTGCTTGAGGGCTCTAAAGAGATGAGAAACCTTCTGCCCAGAGACCCTGCGCAGATCACGGAGGCTCACATCTGGGGCGGAAACGGGGCTGCCTCTGTGTGCCAGTAACCCGGGGGCTGCAGACGAGGCTGGACCGTGTCCCCAAGTGTGGCCTCTCTGGAGAAACACAACCAACAACTTCCGCCTGCAAATCATCGGTTCAGACTCCCTCCCTCAGCCTCTCCCATCAACAAGCAGGTGATGCCCTGCTCCTCCCAACCCAGGTTTGTTTACAAGGAAGTTGCAGGAAACAGACAGGGCACAAGGGAGCAGCCATCCCCACCCCAGACCCACCTTTGGACCTTGTCATGCAGTCACATTCCACCAGCCACGGCCACACCCAGCCCTGGGGGCTAAACTCAGGGCCTTGAGGCCTAAACGAAGTGTCTTTGGAGGCCGCAGGACACTGGGAGACCCTGCTGTTCCTAAAGTCCCGTAACAAACACATTCACAGCCTGTCCCGTCTGACCTCAGAGAATCCCCCCAAAAATCCAAACCCAGCTCAGCTGAGACGCAGGAGATGATGGGCCTTCTCAGCAGCCTCCAAATCAACCGTCTCTGAGAAATGCAGGGCCTGCCCGTCGGCCCCTGACAGCACCGTCTGTGGGGACCGGAAAACTGTGCTGTTTGGGGAAGGGTCTGAGACCTGAATATTACGGGAGCCAGGAAAGGTGCCGAGGGCCTGCTTCCTCTCAGTCACGCCCTCACTGGGCTCTGCGGCCAAAGACGGTAGCAAAGAGCCAACGTGACTGTTTAATCACTGCGCACCGTCCTCTCCTCACAGTGTCATGTGTTAATTTGTCTTAGTTCTGCAGCTGAACACTTTATGATATGAGGGACGCAAAGCAGGCGAGTGTCATGAGATGCTGTCCACACCCCCCTGCCCAGGAGCGGTTCTGCAGGTGACCACACAGAGAGACGCAGAGCCAGGGGTGGCCTGCACTGCTCCTTCCTACAGGAGGTCAACTTTCATCCTAATCTGTCTGATGGTTTCTGCCCAGCAACTGATGAAACACATGGATACGAGCCAGTCAGAACACAAGGACTTGAAAGATGAACTGGACATGGTTTGGCTTGGTGAGCAAACTTTCTTTTTCCTCAAGCGTTTCCTCCAGCTCAGAGACACACCCATGATATAGAACCACGGAGCGCCCGCGCTCTGGGAGTTCCCGCTGGGAGAGCCAAGGGTAACTGGGGAGCTGGGGAAAACCAGGGCCCTGGCCCCTCAGGAGAGGGGCTAAGAAGCTGGGGAGCCTGCAGAGCACCCTTCCCCCTGAGGAAGAGTGGGGGGCCCTGAGCCTGCAGGTGAGGCCCAGAGGGAGCGTGGAGCCAGGGCAAGGTAAAGCCACCCTGGGAACCTGTGGGAGGGATACAGGGAACCAGGGAGCCAGACACCTGCCCATCCCCGGGAACCTCCTGTGGCCAGAGAGGGGCAAGGCCTCTTACCGTTTCTCTGGCTCGTCTCCGGAAACGTGTTCTAGGGGATTCTAGAAGAGACATTGATATCAAATCCGGGTTTGCTGCCTGCTGCTCCTAAGCCAATAATCGAGGGACAGGGTCTGATGGGAGGAAAGCAGGTCCATTGAAGGGCCGGCAGCTTGAGACGATGGGGTCTCCGCTCACAGACCATCTGAACCATTGGACACGGGCAGGGGTTTTGTAACGAGAGAAAAGGAAGGGGAAAAAAACAGAAGAAAGACAAGAAAGGAGGGTGCTGGGAGTTCTGTGTTGGGGGACAATGTGGAAGCAGCACAGTCTGTGCAGGTAACCGGCGGAAGGTCAGCAACTCTCCAGGCGCTGAATGTTGAAGGGCTCAGCGAGCTCCTTTTGAGGTCAGTTTCTAGAATTTCAACCAAACAGGCTGTTCATCTGCAGTCACACAGAAGTTAGCAAGTCCTCGTTTATGGAATTAGTGTTAAAAGAACAGTGGGGAGGGTGACAAAGTGTGTGTCTTAAAGATTTATAGGTAAAGCTGTTTGCTACAGAATTATTTGTTATATAAAAACAATCTGAACCAACTTCCATACACATCAGCTGGACAATGGATCAACAACACATTGTCTGACTATAACGGGAATTCTAGTCTATACAGCTGTTGGGCATCTGTTCCATTTCTGTGGAGAAATGTCTAGTCAGGTTGTCTGGCCACTTTTAAGATCAGGTTGTTTGGTTATTTGGCGTTAAACTGTCTGAGTTCTTTATAAATTTTGGTATTTTCCCTTGATTGAATGTATCATTGGCGAAAATCTTCTTCCAGTCTTTAAGTTGTTGATGTTGTCTACAGTCTTTTCATTTTGTTGATGGTTCCTCTGCTGTGCAAAATCTGTCTAGTTTGATGTGGTCCCATTTGTTTAGTTTTTCATTTAGTTTGTTTCATTTTCATTTAGTTTGTCCTTGCCCAAGGAGACAGATCCAGAAAGACATTACTAAGAACAGTATCAGAGAGTTCCTTGCCTATGTTTTCTTCTGTTCTTATGGTTTCAGGCTTCACATTTAAATTTTTAATCAATTTTCTGTTTATTCTTGTATTTGGTATAAGAAATTGGCCCAGCCACACTCTTTTGCATGTCTCTGTCCAGTTTTCCCAACATCTTTGGAAGGCAGTTGTATTTACCCCATTGTATATTCTTGCCTCCTTGGTCCTGGGTGAACCCACCATATAGTGAGGGGTAATGTCTGGCTCTCTGTTCTGTCCCATTGAACTACGTGTCTGCTTCTATGCCGGTACTTCGTTATCAGGGAGTGTGATACCTCTAACTTTGTTCTTTCTCTAAAAAATTTTTTGGTTACTTGGCATCCTTTGTGGTTCCATGTACATTTTACGATTACTTGTTCTACTTCTGAAAAGAGGGCCATTGGTGTTTTAATGAGGATCCCGCTGAATCCGCGTATTGCTTCAGGCAGTCAGGACCTTTAACCAATGTCAATCCTTCCGAACCAGGTGCACAGTGTGTCCTTCCATTTATTTGTATCCTCCTCATGTTTCTCTTCATAGTCTTATAGTTGTCAGAGTACAGCTCTTTCAGCTCTTTCGCTAAATTTATTCTGAGGTATTTTATGCTTTTTGATACAATGGTAAAAGGGATTGATTAAATTTCTCCTTCTGAATATTCCTTTTTGCTGTATAGAAATGCAGCAGGTCTCTGACTTTGTATCCTGCACCTTTACGGAATTCATTTAGGAGTCCTAATAGTATTTTTGGTGGTTTCCGCAAACTTTTCTACCTATTGTATTGTGTCATCTGCAAATAGTGAGAGTTTTCTTTTCCCTTGATTTGAATGATTTTTATTTCTGCGTCTTGTCTGATGGCTGTCGCTAGGACTTCCAATCCTGTTTTGCTTAAAAGCGGTGATCGCGGGCATGTTTTTTTTATTCCTGGTCCTACAGAAACGCTTTCAGCTATTCACCACTGAGTGCTTTGTTAGCTGTATGTTTGGGAGTCATGATTTTAGTAACGAGTTTTTATTTATAATTGTAACATTTATTTATTTATAACTGTAAAATGGATGCAATTTACACTGGTTGGTCTTGCAGATATTACTTTGATGGAGAGCATTAAATGTGAGTTCTTGTGTTAATGCTTGTTGTTGTTTTTTTAAGAGTAATTCCTGCAAGTGGAATCTATGTAACTAAGGATAAAACATTTTTAAGGCATTTGGTATAAGAAGGTGGATCAAAACAATAAAACAACCCTGAGTTATTTTCAGGAGGGCGGGCCTCTTGTAGGACAGGCTTCCCCCGCGAGGCGAGAATCCTCGGAGCCCATCAGGATCAGCGCACCAGCTGGTGTTGTTCCGCGAGGCTGCGTTTGGCTTCAATGAATTTTTTTTGAAGAGGCTCTCAGCACGTTTGCCCATTTCCTGAGAGGTGATTTACAAGTGCACCTGCCCACACCCTGCCGAGTGGACAGCAGGTTTGACCAAGAGCTCCCGTGGCCCACCCTCCCTATTCATCTGGTCTTATGCAGAACGACTATTTTTCGTTTTCCGGATGAAAAAAGTCCCCAAAGGGAAATGTTGCTAATGCGGAAGACATGAAACAAAAACGGTAGAAGCACTAAAAGGCATGAAAATTGAAGAGCTCAGCAAGGCTCTGAGCAGTGAAAAACGCCTCCCTGGGCGCACTGTGTCAAATAGAAGTTAAAGTGCTGGGGGCGGAATTTAAACATGTGAGAATGAATACACAATTTTTATAAATCACTTGTTTCTTTCTGCCCCCTCCCCTTGTATATACATGGCCAAACACATCCAGAAATGCTTACATTCATATGGAACAACGGATATACTTGCCATTATAAATTATTTAAATTTTATTCTTTATGTTTTTTATTTTAAAAATTCTCTATAATCAGGAATGAAAACCAATATTTTTGAAAATCTGTGGGAATATATTCCCCACTCTGAAGACTTTTAAAATTTAAAGTATGCAGATAATTTTAGAAGTGCAACGTGCATAGGCCTTCGCCTCTGCTCTGTATGAAGAGCCCCCGGAAGGGGCTGAGCAGGAGGGAGGAGAGGGGTCAGGACGTGCTGGCTGCTGTGCGGGGCGCGGCCTGCAGGGGGCAGCAGTGGGATGGGGGATTCAGAAATAAGGGGCCTGTGTGACTCAGGGGGTCATACTGGGGGCGCACCTGGCTGTGGCAGGAAAGTCGGGGTAAGTGAAGGCTGCGGAGCACGTTCGCACAGGAGGGCCCAGACGCCCTGAGGACAAGGGCTGAGGTACGGGCACTACCGTTCCCTGTTTCATGGGTGATTCCATGTTAGGATCCAAGGTGAAGACGCCCCAGCGGACACGTGCAGAGCCGACTCTCGGGGCACCAGCGATCGCCGTTGCGCCCGGGGCGGCCCTGGGGAGGCGGCGTCTCCACGGAATTCTCCACCTTCCTCCAGGTCGTCATTGCCACCCAGCCCCTCCGGGCATCTCTCTCCGCACAGCGGGTGACGATGGCGAGGGGCCCGGTCCTCTCTCTGCGCGCCCTCCCCATCTGCCTCGCCCTGGTCCAGCTGCTCAGCCCCTGCTCAGCAGGTAGGACCGGCTCTGTGTTCATTGCCCTGAAGCGTTTCCCTTCGGGCCCAGGCAGACCCTGGACTCCCCCATCCCTGCGAGGCCCGTCCAGGCGGCCCCTGTGTCAAGACCGGGTTCCTGTCCAGGGGTCCCGCCCCTCGCCCTCCCTGCCTGGGACACCCCCGGCCCTCTGGCCCCAGCTCCTCTGACGGGGCCCCCCCTTCTCACGACCAGCTCAGTTTACTGTGGTTGGACCCCCTGAGCCCATCCTGGCCTTGGTGGGTGAGGACGCCGAGCTGCCCTGTAAGCTGTCCGCGAAGATTAAAGCGGAGACCATGGAGCTGAGGTGGGTGCGACCCAGCCTCAGGCAGGTGGTGCTCACGTACGCACGTGGGCAGGAAGACACGCCAGCCGCAGAGTATCGAGAAAGGACTTCGATGCTGAGAGAGAACATCACCGCGGGGAAGGCTGTTCTCCGGATTCGCGACGTCAGAGCCTCTGACAGCGGAACCTACCTGTGTTATTTCCAAGATGGAGATTTCTTTGAAAATGCCCAGGTGGAGCTGCACGTGGCAGGTGAGCCTCAGGTTTGCTCTGAGCTCTATTCTGCGGGGCAGGTGGGTGGGTGGGGGTGGGGATCGGAGTCTCCAAGCCCAGTTCTGAGCACTCTCGCCTCCTCACCAACAATGGCCTCCGCTGTCTCCAACGCTGCTTCTCTGAGGCCCGTGACAGACCCAGGTTTTCCCGCAGGACGAGAAGTATGCACAACTGAATCTTAGAGGACAGACTAATCTCCTTAATACATAAAACAGCCCTGGAGGTAAATAAATGTAGAACACGAATTATCAGTTCACAGAAAAGGAAATAACTCTTGAAAGGATGTCCAATTTCACTAATTGGGGAAAGTTTTTTCACTTGTCAGATTGGCAACAAAAAATGAGGTGGCTGATAGCACATTCTGATGCCAGGATTGTGGGTAGACATTCACGCTTAGAGGTTTGTTGATATAATTTGGGGCGGGTGGAGTTTTTTTTTGGTATAAATTGGCACCACTTCTATTGGGTTAATAGAGCAATCTTTATACAAAGTACTTCTTTACTGGTCCAAAATCCCACTTCCGGGAGTCCGACAGATCAGGTGTGTGTGAAGTGACCCATATAAAGGGTTATTTTGTAGACAGCTCATTATAATAACAAAGGGGCATAGGCCGTGCCCATGCCCCCGACGGGAGCGTGTATGCGGCGGGCGCTGCCCTGTGAGAGGGTCCCAGACCTGCCCCCTGTGCCGATGGGGAAGGTCGCCAGACACGCGGTGACCGGAGAAAGCAACATGCGGACCAGCTTGCAGAGAGTGCTGACTTAGGTGTGAAGAAAAATTATAAGAATATGTAGTTCAAATTAATAAACACTTGCATGGCACTCACAATGGGTCAGGCGCTTTATAATCATTAATTTAATCCCCTTACCCATCAGGATACCAGGAACAGGAGGCTAAGTCATTAGTTCAAGGTCACAGAGCTGGTCAGGCCCTCCAGCCTCAGAGTTCACGTTCTTAATCGCCAGATGAAGCTGACTCAGGAGAAGCTAATAAACGCAGGAGGGCAGAAGGGACAGGAGACTTCAATGACTTTTGTATGTGTTTTTTGATATTTGAACTATTCTCATGTGAGAGGCCGTTATTTCAAGAAAATTGTACCTATTATGTGACAGTAACTGTTCCTGGGCACTTTGGGGAAAGTATGGTCAATTTCAGTCCCGAGACACCCCAGGACCCGCCTGGCGAGCAGCTGACGCTCACCCTTCGCAGGCCCGTTCTTCCAGGATGCGCAGCCCTGTGTGGTGGCCTTCCAGGGGACGCTGCTGGCTCTGCTGGGGCTCCTGATGCTGGCCGGGTACTTGCTGAGGAAGATCCAGGCCCTGTCCTACGACAAAGACAGGGAGCGAGCAGAGAAAGAAGCAGCTCTGGCGGAGAAAGCAGCAGCTCAGAAGGAGAAAGAAGAAGCTGTGGCCGAGAAAAAAGCAGCGCAGGCTGAGAAAGAAGCAGCTCTGGTGAAGGAGCAGCGGGAGCGAAGCGCCAAAGGTGAGAGGCCCCGCTGCAGGTGGTCGCCGCCTCCCCATCCCAGCCCTCAGCCACCACAGGGATCCTCCCCTCCATCCCCTTGACAGGACCTGATTTTTTTTTTTCCGCTTTTTTCCAGAGAGGCTGCAGGATGAACTCCGTAAGTCCTGACCCCTATCCCCTCACGTCCTGGGGAACCTGCGTTAGGCGCGTCACCGACTCCTCCCATTGTTCCCTGCAGGGTGGACAAAGACCCGGTACCGACCACGTGAGTGCCGCGACGCGCATCCCAGCCTCTTTGCGCGGGTATTTCCAGCCCCCTCCCTCGCCCCCAAGCGCCCAGGGGAAGAAAGGAGGGTGCTGATGGGGGCCGGGGCAGTGATCTTTCTGTGGGGAAGGGGCTGCGGCCTCCCTCCCACCAGGAGGCGCTCGAGAGTCACCTCGGGAACCCAGAGAAGGAGGAGACTGGGGAGGTGACTCAGCGTGGGATGTTCTAGCTTCTGTTGCTGGTGAGCAAACTCTGTAGTCAGCTGAGAACAGCAGAAGGACGGAGAATAAGCGTCTCTTAAAAAGAGGAGTGGCCAGTGACAGTTGTCACAAATATCGTAAATGCTGAAAAAAAAGTACGTGAAATATTCTCATTACCTTGCTTAATTGTTTCCGAAATTTGGCAGGAAATAACGCAGGCGGAGGGGGATGGGTTCCCGCGCACAGGTGCACACAGGTGTGTGCAGGGGAGCCCACGCCCAGGTACAGCCAGGCCCCGGAAAGGTGGTCGCCCCTTGTCCGAGGGGCACACAGTCCAAGGCCCCCAGTGGATGCCTGGCGCACAGATATTACCAAACCCCGAATAGACCAGGTTTCTCCTGTTCAAGTAAAGGAGGCTTCTCGTTGGCTCACCAGCATTGCAGCCTCACCGGTCTTGCGCGTTGGGACCATTATTAAGTAAAATAAGTGTGACTTGACCACCAGCGCTGTGACGCTGCGACCGTTCACCTGCCACAGAGACGCACCTCAGTGACCACGGCGGGGGGCGGTGTCTGCTGGGTGGACGTGCTGGGCTTTGGGAGGGCTCGTGAGGGGGCAGGTCCGAGCAGGACGTGCTGCTCGTACTGCTCAGAATGATGTGCAATTTAAAACTTCTGAATGGTGTATTTCTGGAATTTTCCATCGTGTAGTTTCCAACCACGGTTGACAGAAGGTAACTGAATCCTTAGAAAGGAAAACTGCAGTTAAGGGGTGACAGCGGGGACGCCCGTGCAGGGCGCCTGCGGGTCCTGAGCGGCAGCGGATGGAAGGGGGAGGGGCGCGCACGGAATGGTCACATGGTGCAAATTGAAGAGACAGGAACCAACTCAGAAGTGACATCCAGGTGACGCTGTTTCTCTTGCAGGTGGGAAGCTGTCTAAGGCCTACGCAGGTGAGTGAGCCTGACGCCTGGTGTCCTGGCTCCTGCGTGGGGAGCGTTGACCCCTCTCTCTGCTGGGGGAGGAAGGGTCACCTCCAGCTCAGGGGCTCCTGGTCTGTGGCTGAGCCACCCCCGCCTTTCTGGACACTCAGTGGGGACCTTCCAGGTGCAGTGTCCCCTCCCCTGCTGACACGCACGCCCTCCCCCGGGCAAAGCCTGGTCATGTCTCCCGCGGCCCCAGCGTGAAGGGGGGAAGCCCAGCCCCGGGAGAGGTTTCAGCCTGACCCGCAGGGCTGGGGACGAGGGACCGGGATGGGGGAGGGGACGGAGGACTGGAGGGGGGAGAGGCTCAGTGAGGATGGGGGGTCAGAAGTAATGACTTTTCCTTGTCTGTGTCCCCTTCCTTCCAGAGTGGAAGATGGCCCTCTTCCAGCCTGGTGAGTGGGTCCCTCTGTCCCCAGGACAACACCCAAGGGTCCCTGGCCCCTCTTTCCGCTCCAACTCTTCAGGGTGACAGTACTGGGGATGGGCGACCTAGGTCTTGATATCAAAGGTGTGTCCACCTGCTGCCCAGAGCCCAGGGCCGAGGGAGAGCGGCTGCTGTAGGGTCCACAGGTCCCTGTGGGAGGGAGAGGCCGGAGGGGCGGGGCTGGAGGGAGGGGCTGCAGGGGGAGCGAGGGAGGGACCTGCCCAGGCTCCCGCCCCTCCTGCCGCCGTGTGTCCCCAAGACCCTCAGTGTTTCTGAGCTTTAGTCCCCTCTGGAGTGTCCATCCTTTTAGCATCTCTGGGCCACAGTGGAAGTAGAAGATCATACATGTGTTATATTATCTAACATTGCAACACATAATCACAAAATAATCTCACAATGTTTAAGTAAAATTATGATTTTGTGTTGCGCCTCATTCATAGCCACCCTGGGCCACTTGAGGCCTGTGGGCTGCCTGTTGGGCATCCCTGTATGACGGTGGTACTTCCTGCTCCGTCAGCATTGAGACTAATGAGGTGATGACTGTGTATTGGTCAAAACACCCACAGGAAACAGGTGTCCTCTTTAAATGGGTGTTTGTCTGACTGTAAGGACCCCGGTGAGGAGAAGGCATCTCAGCACCTAAACACGATGCCGGCAACTCCTCCGACCGTAACAGACTGTGTCACAGGGCGACTCACTCACAGGCCGTCGGGTCGGAGAGGACAGAGGCCCCGGCAGCCGCCACAGACTGTTCCCTGAGAGCAGACCCGTCACCGCGCTTCCTTACACTGTAACCCGGGCGCCGATGACTGACGGGAAAAGGGACAAAGAAGGTGGCAGCCCCAGCCAGGCCTCCTGGGGGACTTCTGATGGACGATCCTTCATAATCGATACGATCACCAGTTGGGTGTTGACTCTGTGCTCTGTCCTTCTCACTGTCCCTAGCAAACATGCTCAGGGCTGTAGTTAAGGAACAAGATCATCGTCACCTAGAGGGTTTGCCTATTGAGGACAGTGAGGTGGGTCAAAGGTCGCAGCATGAAAACAGGAAAGGAATCCGTGACACCGAGATGGGGCTGGATGTGCTCACAGCCGCAGGTGGGGCGGCACTAAGGGAACCCCAAGGACGACTGGGCCCCAGGGCTCACAGCAGGGGCCGCGTGACCACCCGGGGGCCCAGGGCAGGGGGACGGGGAGGGGCGCCTGGAGCCCGGAGGCCGCTGGGGCTCGGGGAGGGGCTGCTGGGGGGAGGCTGCTGGGCGGGAGCGGCCCCCTGGGGACGTGGGGCCGGCGCTGCGCCCCCTGTCCTTCCTCCTTCCCGTCCTCAGCCTGCGCCTGCCGGGCCCCACCCCGCAGTCACCAGGGGCCCGGGGCCCAGCCTGCGCCTGCCGTGGCCCCACCCCGCAGTCACCAGGGGCCCGGGGCCCAGGGATGCTGTCCCCGGGGACCGACTCCTGGGGCCGGAGGGCGGGGACAGGTGGGGGGACCGCAGAGCACACGGAGCCCCAGCCCGGCCCCAGCATAGGAGGGACAGGGCATCTGTTATCACAGCAGACACTTCCTCTGTGCCCGGCCTTGGGCTAAACTGACCAGCCAGCTGTCTCATTCCACCCTAGAGACGAGGGTCTTACCCCGTCCACAGGTACGAAATTGAGACTCAGTATAGTCTGTACCCCTTGTCAATGGAAAGAGAGACTGTGCAGAAAAGCACATTCATGCAGCACCGGGGTAGAGGGAGGGCTGCCATTGGCTCCATGTGACTGAGCAGCACAGCTGGGCAGAGACATCTGAGGAGGGAAAGAGGGAGAACACAGAAGGAAGCCGTCAGCACAACGTGGCAGGTTACGCAGACCCCAACCCTCCTCCCTTTCCCCTTCCTCACCAACACAAGACTCCTGGGGGTTCTCTTGGCCTGACTGAGGGTCCCATCAGGGCAGGATGGGACCCCAGGCTCGGGCTCGGCCTCCTCAGCCAGACATAGACTTTTAAGGCTTAGGCTGTGATGGACGTGAACCCCGTCTGACCACACCTGATCCCCTGCAGCGGACGTGTTTCTGGATCCGGACACCGCGCACCCCGCCCTCTGTGTGTCTGAGGACAAGAGGAGCCTGCAGCGGGCACTCAAAGAGCAGAACCTGCCGTACACCCCTGGGAGATTTTACTGGAATGAGTGTGTGCTGGGCTCTGAGAGCTTCACGTCGGGGAGGCATTTCTGGGAGGTGAACGTGGGGGACAGGGAACAGTGGCATGTTGGGCTGTGCAGGGACAACGTGGAGAGGAAATGTTGGGTTCAAATGACACCTGAGAATGGATTCTGGGTTATAGGGCTGTATTTTGGGAAAGACTTTGGGGCTCTCACAGACTCCGAAACGAAACTAAGTGATGTCAAACTCCCTACAAGAGTGGGCGTTTTCCTGGACTATGAGGTGGGGGAGGTGTCATTCTACAACGCCCTCGAAGGGTCACACATCTTCACCTTCCCGCACACCCCCTTCTCTGGGCCTCTGAGGCCTGTTTTCAAGATTTTGTCATTTGAGGACAGTCCTTTGACCCTTTGCGCAGCACAGAAAGCCGTGGGGACAACCGTTGTGCCTGACCCGGCACCTGAGCCTCCCCCGGAGACCCCAACGGCCCCACCTCAGCTGATGGGAATGGGGACCCTCAGGCTGAAGTAATGTCTTTGCCTCTCGCTTCTCACCCTGGAGCTGAGGGCCCGCTGAACAGCAAAACGTCACAGCAAGAAAATGCTTCCTAAAAACAAACTACATTAAGAACTCCATTAATATTCACTCAATTTTTGCACATGATGAGAAGGAGATGGGCATGCGAATGTGAATTAACTTTCCCAAGGTGACTCAGCCGGCTTCGAACCAGCTGCCACCTCTGTGTCCTTCTATGTTCTGGGCGCCGTGCCCACTGCCTCAGGTGACTTTCACTCACTAAGCCCACAACAGCCCCGTGAGGGAGCCTCATTTTGAAAGTGCAGAGCTGCTGTTACTCAGTGGATTGAGCGCAGGCCTGCAAACCAAGGGGTCGCCAGGTCAGTTCCCGGTCTAGGGCACAGGCCTGTGTGGCAGGTCAGGTCCCCCAGTAGAGGGCATGTGGGAGGCCACCACACATTAGTGTGTCTCTGTCTGTCGCCCTCCCTTCTCTTCTCCAAAAATAAATAAATAAAATCTTGAAAAAAAAAAGTGTGGCAACCGAGGCAGGGCCCCAGTGCCTGACGTTGTGACTCACACGGAGTTCTGTGCTGCTGGGAGAGGCTCGCACCGCTGGTCACCCATGACGGTTCCTGTTCCCTGTGGGTCCTGGGGACAGGCTTCTGTTCGTCTCTGTCACTGTGATTCTTCTCCATGTGTCCCCTCCACCTACCCGTGGGTGTCATATTACATTTATTAAATAAATTTGTCACTTATCTTCATGCTTCAATGCAGCTGCTTCCGGATTGAATCCCACACAGGCGACCACCAGGGTCCCTGTTTGCCTGCCTGCGCCGTTGCCGCGAAGCCCTGAGCGTGTTAACTTTCCTTCTGTGCTGCCACAGGCATGGATTTCATGACCTAATGCCACACGAATCTGTTGTCTCAATTCCCTGGGTCAGAATCCAGCGTGGCCCTCACACGCTGTTTCCAAGGTGTCTGCAGGCCTCTCTTTGTTGGTTTGTGAATCCAGGGACCAGCCCGGGTCCTGCTCACCCTGATGTGGGCGGAGCTGAGCCTCCCGCAGCGACAGGACACGCTGCCCTCCTGCTGCGACAGGAGAGGCTGAGACACCCCAGACTGGGACCGTCTGCAGCCGGCCTCGCAGGGACAGACGTGGGGGGATGGGTCAGGTGGGGGAGTGACACGGGGACCCAGTCCAGGTCCTGGAGTGGCTGCTGCGGGGGCCGATGCCCGCGCGCGACTGGCAGCGTCCAGTGAGACAGCGCTGAGGACGAAGAGCCTTCGTGAGCCCAGACATCAGCGAGGGGAGGGTGGCCCTGGCCGTTCCCAGCGTCACGGCCCCCGACAAAGCTGCTGCCGCTGTTCCTTCCAACAAGGCAGGTCCTGCGCCGAGGCCGCCATGTGCCTGATGGTGGTAGTTGGGTCTTCTCTCTGCATTTGGTGGCTTTTTCACAGCGTGACTCTTGGGGACAGTTCCTCTCTGAACCTCCGGACCCCGCGGACCAGCAGGTTTTTGCCTCAGGTCCCTGTAAGCTGGCCCCACGCCGAGGGCCGCAGGAGGGGCTTTGCCCCGCGGAGCTGTGGGCACCGAGCCCGGGAAGCACACGGAGCCCAGCGGGGCCGTGAGCAGGGAGGTGTCGCCCCCCGGATGATGCTCAGGGCGGCAGCCCCGCTGGGCCTCTCAGTGGAGGGCAGCTTGCATGAGGGACCGCGGAGCAGACAGGGCTGCCCGGCTCGGTTCCTCGGCGTTTGAGCCCCGTTAGCCCCCAGACCTGTTTCCAGCGGGGTCCTTCTTTCTCAGGGCTCGCACTGCCATCTTCCAGTCCTCCGGGGCCCCCCATTCTGCAGGTCCCCAAGGACGACATCACCCACTGTGGCCTCAGCAGGGAAGCAGGGGCTTAGGCCATCAGATGCCAGGGAACGGACAGAAGGGGCCTCCGGTGGAGCTCTTCCCGTCCCAGGCTGTCCGGGGGCGTCCTGCGGGCGACGCCTGGACATGGCCTTGATCGCAGGGCCAGCGGCCAGGGGCCTGGCTCAGAGTGGCCATAAAACTGGCGATGACTGGACATTTGGAAGCAGGGGTGCCCGCATCAAAATAACCCAGGATCATCTGACCAAACGGTGGGACAGTGCTGCTCCAGCCCTTCTTAACGCTCAGCCTCGGTGCCTCGAGCGTGCAGGGCTGCGTGCTGCCTGACAGGCCGGTGCAGGCTCCCGGACGGTGTGGGGGCACCGATGTTCGCAAAAGGCCTCAGGTAGATAGCAAAGCCCAGGGGCACCAGCAGAAGGGCGGGTGATTGTAAAGTGAGCCTGTATCATAAAACATGCCTTGTGGAACCTACACAGCCGGCGTACGGAGGCGTGGATCCACGGAAGAGGCTGTCAGCTGTCAGAAGGGAGGGGGTGGGGCTGGTGGAGAGAGAGGGAATGAGCCAGAAAACACGTCTACAAATCACATAGGCACAGACAACAGTGTGGGGGTCGCCAGAGGGGACGGGGGCGGGGGGGTGGGGAGAAGGGCTCGGTGGAGGTGGGCACAGGGGCGAAAACTGGGGACAGAGAGAGACTCTACTGGGGGCGCCAGGTGCCGACGGTGTTTTATCGGGACGCACGCTTGCAACCTGTGTGGCTTGGTGAGTCAATATCACCCCAATACATTGAATTATTAAAATTATAGGACAATTAAAAAAAGAAAAGAGAGAAAGTAGTAAAGAATGAACAGTAAGTATACTTAGTGTTCACTGAAACAGTCTCTCAGCTTTGCTATATCTTTGTAACTTTCATGACCATGGGAGGCAGGGCGGAAAGAAATGTGCTCCGTGACTGAGAACAGAGGCCAGAGGTGCCACTGGCCCAGCTAAACTCGGGCCCCTCTTCCCTTCTCGTGAGACGACACAGGGGCTGTGGGCCAGCGCCGGGCGGGCAGCTCAGAGACACCCGCACCCCAGCCTCCATCCGCCCCCATTCTCTGCCATCTCAGGGCGGGGCTTCCATCCCGAGGTTGCCTCTTGGTGGCAAGATGGCTACTGAGCTCCAGCTCCAGAGACAGCGTCCACTCAAGAGGAAGGAAGAAGTGGGAGGAGTGGGGGTCTCTCTGGAAAAACAGTACCCAACAAATTCCACCCACAAACCATCGGCTCCAACTCAGTCCCTCAGACTCTCTCGTCAAGACGCAGATGGGCACAGTGTAGGCCCATCCCCCCAAAATAGGGTTTGTTTACGAGGAAGCAGCAGAGAACAGACAAGGCACAAGGGAGCAGCCATCCCCACCCCAGACCTACCTTCGGACCTTGCAATGCAGTCACATTGCATCAGCCACGGCCACACCCAGCTCTGGAGACTAAACTCAGGGCCTTGAGGCCTAAACAAAGTGTCTTTGGAGGCCCCAGGACACAGGGAGACCCTGCTTGTGTGAAAGTCCCCTAACAGACACATTCTCAGCCTGTCCCGTCTGACCTCAGAGAACACAGATCCTGCAGGAGAGAAGTGAGTCCCCCTGAATATCCAGATGCCGCTCAGAGGAGGCGCAGAGGATGATGGGCCTTCTCGGCAGCCCCCAAATCAACCGTCTCTGAGAAACGCAGGGCCTGCCATCGGCCCCTGACAGCACCGCCTGTGGGGACTGGAAACCGTGCTGTTTGGGAGAGGATCTGAGGCCTGAACGTCACAGGAGCCAGGACAGGAGGCCTGGGCCTGCGTTTTCTGGTGTAAAGATGTTAGCAAAGGGCCACAGTGACTGATCCTGGCACAGCTTCCTCTCCTCATGCACTGCCGTCTGTTACTGTTCTTAGTTCTGCTGCTAAACCCATTATGACACCCAGGACGTAAAGCAGCCGTGTGTCATGAGATGCTGCTCGCACACCCCACGCCCAGGACTGGTTCAGCAGGTGACCGGGCAAAGAGACGCAGAGCACGGGTCAGGGCCGGGGCTGGTCAGTCCCGCTCCTTCGCGCACAGGGTCCTCTTCGCACCGACCTCGCCCGCTGCCACTGCCCAGCAGTGGCTGAGGCAGGCGATGGGATGCAACCAGGAAGCAAGGGCTTTGAAGGGGAGACTTTGCCCCAACTCCCTGGGTGAGCGCGCTTTCCCCCACCCTTTCCTCCAGCTCAGAGACGCACCTCTAGTACAGAACCACGGAGCACCGGTGCGCTGGGAGTTCCCGCTGGGAGAGCCAAGGGTAACTGGGGGGCTGGGGAAAGCCGGGCCCGGCCCCTCAGGAGAGGGGCTGAGAAGCTGGGGGACCTGCAGGGCGCCCCTCCCCCTGAGGAGGGGTTGGGGGCCGTGAGCCTGCAGGCGAGGCCCAGGGGGAGCGCGGAGCCTGGGCTGGGAGGGAAGGCTGCCCTGTGACCCTGTGGGAGGGACACCGGGAACCAGGGAGCCCAATGCCTGCCCGTCCCCGGGAACCTCCTGTGGCCAGAGAGGGGCAAGGCCTCTTCCCGTCTCTCCTGCTCGTCTCTGGGAACGTGTTTGAGGGGTTCTAGAAGAGACGCTGGTACCAAACCAAGGCTGGGCTGCCTGCCGCTCCTGAGCCCGAAATCGAGAGAAGGGTCTGGTGGGAGGCACGTAGGAGATGGGGGTCCCTCCTGACAAAGAAACTTGAACAGTTGGACACAGGCGGGGGTTTTGCAAGGAGGGAGGTGAAAGGAGAAAAAACACCAGGAAGACAAGGAGCGGAGGGTGCTGGGGACTCTGGTTGGGGGACACTGTGGAAGCAGAACAGTCTGTTCAGGTAACTGGTCGAAGGTCAGCAACACCCCAGGTGCTGAGTGTTGAAGGGCGGAGTGAGCTCCTTGTGAGGTCAGTGTCCAGACTCTTAAGCAAACCAGCTCTTGATCTGCAGTCACATAGAAGTTAGCAGGTCATCGTTTGCAGAAATAATGTTAAGAGGACGACTGAGTTGCCAGGTGTGTATCTTAAAGATTTATTGTAACTCTGGCCAGTGAGGCTCAGTGGGTTGGAGCGTTGCCCATACACAAGAAGGCTAGGGGTTCGATTCCCGGTCAGGGCACAAACCTAGGTGGCAGGTTCCAACCGCGGGTCGGGCAGCCTACGGGAGGCAAGCTGCTGAGGTTTCTCTCTCACGTGCATGTTTCTCTCTCCCTGCCACTCTCTGCCTCGATCTGCTTATCTGCTACTCTCTCCCCACCCCCTCTCTCTACA